ATTAAAACAGAAAACCCATTCTGTGAAACAGTTGTCCTTTCTATGAACAGTTGTGCCATAGAGCAAATGCATTTTGACAAAATGTTCAGCATGCACACTGCGTCAGGCTGATACATGTGGACATTTCCAATACATTTCATGATGTCATGTTTTAGCTATGTGCTCTGCTTTGCATTTTGTTTTCTGATACTTTGCCAACAACAACAAAAAAGAGAAATATAATTGTTCAGTGTGTATCCTTCTTGCTCCTGTTCTTAGAGTGCTTAATGCAATGACTGTAGCCTTGAATTGACAGGAAAAACAAGACTTCCTTGTGGGGGTGGAGAAGAAGTTCATTTTCCACATCCTGTTCCAGACACAAGCCTTTTCTTTTTTCTTAACCTATTTTTTTTTAACCACAGTGGGCCAGTATTTGTCTCCTTGTTACCACTGTGCTGAGCAGAGGCGTGACCTCGTTGACAATGACACCACACAAAGTGACCACGACTAGAGCCACTAGTGGCACCCCTCTTCAGACTGAATGGCGGTTGGTTTCCTAGTGCACTGACACATTATGGCTTACCATGGTCTTTAAGCCAAATATGTGGGTTGACAGTAGGCAAACATAATTATGCCTGCTGCACATGGTGTTGACTGTTGCCCAAGGACAGGGATGAGAGAGAGTGGGAACAAATGTAGAGATAAATTAAAGGCAGTGAAAGTCACAAAATATTGAGTCTTTTATCTGAGTGGGACATTGAGAAGGTGTGGTTTGGATAAAGGATGTTTGGGGACTGTAAGGCTGCCAAAACAGAACGCAGAGGAAGGACAGAGCAGAGATCTGCTAGTGACCTTAGCACGCAAACCACAGCACTTCTATTGTCCACTAGACCACAGACAGATAAAGAGCTATGAACATACATAACCCAGTCCCAGACAATGTCTTTCCGTCATTCTGAAATAAAAATATCTCTCAATCCATCATTTCCCAAAAGAATTCCTTGAATCCAGACATGAAGACTTTATTCTGTCCAACAGTAGCAAAACCACCAAAGAGAGAGGTTGTAATTGGAGCAATGTTACCATGGAGACAGAATACACATCCAAGCAAAGGATTAAAGGTTGTCCTAGAGTGTGAGGATGAAGGCTGGGGCAATCTATACGCATGACATGTAAAACACCCCAGTGCTAAATTTAACAGGCGGTCATGGTCTGTGCCTTGTTCAGGAGCCGAGGTCTTAATGGGATTCTGAGTACACATCTTTCTGGTGGGAACATTCAGCAATGAAGGTGACTGATATGTTGTTTCCGACTGTAAGATTCAGAGGAAGGTGGTCAGGGGTCAGCAGCCTCCACCCGCCTCTGTGACTTGGCACATCCTCTGCAGCCACAGAGCTCTAAAAATAGAGTCAGTAACAAATGTCTCTCACACCATGCATACCTTAGGTCTGTCACTAAAGATGACACAGAGCCAAGCAACATGTCATAATACAAATTCTTATAACTTAGTAACAAAATCATAAAAGTTCAAGATTTAAAATAATGACACCAAAGAAAGAAAATCTTTCAACAGGGATGTGATGAGATCTCATGCCATGAGCTCTCACAATATTAAAATGTGACGATGTTTCTCATTGAGGCAAAAGCTGTCCTGCGATATCAGTACATAACAGAACCAGGCAAGCATGATACAGTGTGACCATACAATATCAGTACATAACAGAACCAGGCCAGCATGATACAGTGTGACCATACGTTCACATTAGTTCGGCAAATACGCAACTCCCTGCTGTGTTTTAACACAGTGGGGATGAGGGGTTTCAGGTGTTGTAGGCATGTACGATAAAGCCACGTTTCCAGCCTCTGAGTTTTGGTTAGCCATGCTGCTAAAGTAGCCTACTCTACCCTAACACCAATTCTACCACCAGCGTGGCTGCACTGATAAATAAAAAACAGTTTAACACGCAGTACTAACAAAAACACATGGCATGTCTTTATGGTGCGTTAATTGTGGCTCATATTCAACAGTGAATAGCAATGAATGCTCATGCTAACAAGGTAAACAAAATGATAATTCATACTTAGGCAGTAGAACTGAAGTTACATTCATTACAATGACTTTCAGTCAAATAAAAAACTATTTTCCGGTCATTTTATCAATGAAGATTTTCTTAAATATGGTATTAAAATATAACCTTGTCCTGTGAACCCTGTATCATGTATTGTTTTGTTTCATGAGCTAAGTGTATCATCACACCGCTATATTTCAGTGACAAAATATTATCAGAGCTGGAACAATTAGCATATTAATTCATTAACTGATCAACAGAAAATGTAATGCCAAATAATTTTTTATAATTGTGTCAGACATTTTTTTCATGCAAAAATGCCAAGCATTCATCAGTTTCAGATTCGCAGATATTCAAATGTTCTACTTCTCTTTGTTTGACAAAAGAAACTAATATAATATACAGCCAAAGCAATAGACTCACTATAAACCAAATAAAGCCCATCTGTTGCAACACAACAATGCAAGTCAAACAACATTGCAAGACACCTGTTACACTAAGCAAGTAATAGAATCCTGCAAACAGAAACACTCTGGGCAAAGAATAGCAGTCCCACCATGAGAAAAAAACACCTGCTGTGGCACAACATCCGCTAGATGTTAACCCCACATTCAATACAGGAATAGAACAGCCACCTGCTGAAGATATACAATAGCCATCAGCTAAGCTGATCAACAACACTGAGTGAATGATACTGTCCATGCCAAGTGAAAGTCTTCTCATCACAAACCTATGCAGCCACCACTTCACATTTACCACAGTTACATAAAAGACAGAACAGCATGAGTGTGTGCTTATGATCACACCAGTGTTTTTCTGGTGTAAAGAACTTATGATCACACCAGTGTTTTTCTGGTAAGAGAGTAAAGAAGTTACCGTTTACAGTACATAACCAGCATAATGTGGAATGAATGCACAATGAAGCAAAGGTGCTAGTAATATAATCGGTATCAAAATAACAGACAACAGGCAGCCCTCTGCACCCATCCACAGGACATGAGATGAGACAGTCACACTTCTTTCTGCATGACGTGACACTGACATGTTTCAGAGGTTTCAAGCTGTTGCACTGCCTAGATAAAGTAGATACACCTCTGCCGGTCAACTGGAATTCATAAAGCTTGCTACACATGTCATTTTAACATCTTTTAAATGCTACTTTTATCGTGACATTATGAACTTCTCATTAATTCCAGGTGTACTGTGACAAGTTCTGTGTTGATATTACCTTTAGAATAGTGCACTTTTGGCTTGTCAAAAGAACAGAAGTTGTGTGCTATCCTGTGTAAACATGCAAACACCTTGTAAAGACTCATGTCAAAACATGCAAATTGTCTGCAATGTGCTGTGTGGCACAGACCTTGCTGACTTTGTTTACAATGACTGACTTAATGTTTAAGGTTGTAGTTTGTATCGGTGTATTTGTTGCACTGTAAGAAGTTCTAGTATAACGTATAAAAGCTGCAAGAGGTACAATATAATGGTAGGATGTGGTTATTTCCCATTAATATGTGAGATTACATTCACATCAAAGGGAACTAAAGGTTAGACATTTTACAGTGAAATTCTGGCACTATGCACTACTTTCCCTGCTATATAAAACTGAGTAAGATTTATATGTACTAACAAATCATAGTAATTCTGTGCTTGAATAACCTATTACATGTTTCAATTTGCATTTGCATCAATATTAACTAATAATATTACAAAACATCTGGTTGAATTAAAGCTTTATTCTCACCACTGGTTCTTCTTCACATCTGCCTTGTGTTTCCATCATTTAAAGGATTTGTTTAGCTAAAAAGATTAAGTGGGCGTCACAACACTTTAGGTGTGAAAGGATTCCACAGTCCCCTACAACTATAAACCACTGACAATCCCCTTCATCAAGTCATCAACTCTTTGGCCTCAATCGAGCACACTATGGGGTCTCCACTGTAAAAGAAAGCCTCCCATTAGGTCCAGTGAAAGCCCTGTTTACCCAAGCTTAGTGAGCTACCTTGGGTTGCTGCAAGAAAATGGAGGCTGTGGATGGATACACTGGGCCCTACGTCAAACATCATTTAGCTCTGTATCTAACATTAACCAGGAGATACTGTATCTACAGTATAAGTTGTGATGCGCAAAAATACAGAGCAATGCTAAGAAGGAACTGCGAAAGATAATTCAGGAATGTGAGATGTGCTTTTTATCAAGGAATTCTGACATTTCCACAAGTTTCCGTGTTGTGTTCTAGCAAGATAAGAGGGCTGCTTCGCAACAGAAACGTCCTGTTTGGTGTTTAGGGTTATCCTATAATGCATCAGTACATCATGAGTGTTTCAAAGCACTTCATGTCAGTTGTTTACATTTTCATTCGAACCACTATTTGTAAAATCTTGCTAAAGTGCTCAGCCGCTGACTATAGGCCTTGTTCACTTTGCCCTTGTTGTGAAGGCAATGGCAAAGCAAGACTGATAAAGTCATTAAGTGAGCAAGCAAGGGTTTAGAGACATGTCTCACTTAAAGCGTCTCGTCCACCCCACCCCACCCCTGCTCCCCCTTGCCTTGGCTTTTCACCTCCCAGACTCCCTTGACCCCTTTGTTGGGGCAAAGGGGTCTAGAGCTTTGGAACCAGCTAATTAGAGTTTTCACGTCTGCTTGACTAAGCTCTAAGTGCTGGGGAACATTCCTTCAATTGGGAGTTTCACTATGAGAGAGAGAGAGTGTGTGTGTGTGTGTGTGTGTCTGTGTGTGTGTGTGTACCATCCTATTGTATAAACGTTTATATAATAATATCCAAAAAAGGTATTATGCTGGGCACAACAAAGCTGTTCAACAGTAGCCCTATGCACAACTGAAAATCAAAACAATTAAATGTTCAGTCACAGACAAGAAAAAACCAAAAACCAGCCACAACTTACTGATTATAGTGCTGATATACACTGGCTTGATATAGAGCTCTTGACTTACCACACTTTTAGATTTTGCTCCAAGGGCCAGCACAGCTTCTGAGGTGGAGGTAGCAAAAACATGTTGTGGGTGTGGAGGGGTTTGTGATGCTGCTGGCACAGTTCCTAAATCAAACTCCTGCACACAAGATGAAAGACATTACGCTGTTGTGGACAGAGTACTGTTTTCTCTCATTTTTAGGTATTGGTTCTGACATTATAAGTAACATTGTTTTGTAGTCACAAAACACTGAAGATTTTGTTTTGGTGCAAGGAGTCAAACAAATGATTCTCCCACACGGTCTCTGACTGTTTGCTAAGTCTTTTAAAGGCCACTAGGGGACACACAAGGTGTAGGTGAGAAAATGAATAAGATTCTGTCTGAATCCATAACATGCAGCTATAAGAGCAGGTTAAGTTCTTGCTTGCATGTCTGCTACCAAACCCTGCAGGGTAGCACACTGATGTGTATACCAGGAATTGTCTCCGGTGGAGGGTGGGGGTGCTGTCCATAGAGGATGTGGCACTGAGGGCATTCTCAATCTCCTGGTCCAACTGATCCAGCTTCATCAGCAGCAACACCATTGAGTCCAGTCGAGCATGTTCATGCTGAATGAAGAGACAAATCAGAGAAAAACATACTTGCACTGAGCTTATAACTGTACTTGGACAAACTACTACAACATTATGTTTCTGTTACCCTCCCTGCTTAGTGATCCGAGGAAGAGGAAGGTGACAGAAATGTGCGACTGAATATGACAAAAGGTGAAACAATGGTGGAATAATGTAGGGTGGAACAAATGGACATACAGTAAATATGGTGGAGGTAGCTTACTCTGAGCTGTCAAAACTGAAATGAATTTAAAACAGCGTCGTAGCTTCCAACCTGATCTTACCAAAAGTTCATCCCCTGATGCCAATGTGTTTTCTGTGGTACAGACACTGTGCATATATTTTGTTTCTGGCCCTCAGTCCAGAAATATTTGGATTGTTCAGCTGTCCATCCAAACACTGTGATAACAAGACTCACAGTGACCTCAGGTGGTGTCTCTCCAGTAGGACAAGCTAAATGACATACAATCTAGCCCACCTACACATTCCACTGATTCCTCACTCCATCGTGTTTTGTTTGAAGCAATCTAAGCCCATGCTAGACATTCAAAAACCTGTAAAATCCCTTTCAAATCACGGCATATGTTTTCATTTCCTTGTGTCTTTTATCCTGGCTCTGGATGTGGCTCTTTGTCTGAGCTTTTCTCTCAAGAAGAACCTTGAGAAATTACATCACACGCCTCGCTCATCAAACAAGCGACATTACAATATACTATAACAAACCTTGTTAAACACTTTATGAGGGTTAGCTCATGGGACAGAGCCACTGTGGCTGCATGCTTGTGCAAATTTATAGAGGCATGGTATTGGTTTGTTTGTGGTTTTCATGTGCTGTGTCTGTTCCTAGGTCTAAAAGGATGACTTATGTAGAATGAATCAAATACATCATACAGTACATGACATAAACAAACCAAGTGAAGTGGCCTTGATCTTAAGTTTACAATTGGTGTGTGTACAGATGACAACATTCATATGATTTGAGGTGTGACTAATGCTTATGTGTGAAGCTTGACAGGATTATGGATACTAAACAGTATCTGCACCCCGATAAACAAGTTACACCCACGGCACTGTGCCTGGATCCCAGCTTCGTGCCTAATAACGTAGGCTTGTGCTTACATTTATTTTCTAGTTAGTGCCCAATTAGCCTGTCAAAAGCAGTGCCTATTGGGTTTGCCGAGAGAGCAAATGCACAGGGCCTTGAGGGCCTTGTGTGTCATGGAAATGGGTCTCACACTGATGCATTCATTGGCATGCCTGGCTAGTGGCAGTGCACATCGCTACGTTCTGTCTCCTTGGCAAAGCATCACAATGAAACACTGTATCATGGTAAAACAATGGCATCTTTACGAGGCCTCACTGAATGAACAAAAGCATCTGGCTCGAGATGGCAACAACAACCACAAAACAGCAGAGTGAAAAACAAGTGCAGTGCAATGTCAGGCTCCTCAGAGAGGCAACGTTTTTAAGGGGGCATTCTGATGGTTTGGGTGTTCTCAGAAGGTTTCTTTTCTCTCTTTCCCATCTTTTGAGGTTTCTGTTACATTCCTCCCAACTTCCTGTTTTTTGAGATGGGAGACAGTTCCCACACTGTTTGAACTCTCAGACCCCTCCTTCCCCTTTCCTTGCTCTCCTTTTCAAACCCCCCACTCAGTGGCCTGCATCCCATTTCTCAGACCTGCCCATTAAACTCTCTTTCTCTGCTGAATTTAGCATCAAACTACTGTACATACATTTTTTATTTATAAACAATGACCACAAGTCAAGAATCTAATTAATAAGTAAGGACAGAAAAGAGATAGCACTGAAACAGTGATGTCTATTGTCAGATAAATGACCCTTGAGACTGTTTGGCCTGGAGGTCAGGATAAGGCCTTGTTGCTAAAACAAATAAACACAGAAACAAAGCCCAATATCAGGTTAATCTCAAGCCATTATGCAAACCAGATGGGTTCATTTTACAGACTGAATCTGCAACAACAACAACATGGTCCACTGAGGACATTGTCATTAGTGAGTACAATATCTTGTCAGAGATAATTCCAGACTGCTGGTGCCATGAGAGTCTAACATCTTTTTTTCATGATGTTCCAGAGCATCTTCTCCCTTTTCTTTATACTAAATATTGTACACTACCTTCCTTGGGAGAGTTAATTTTTACTGCCTAAAATCTTTTCTGTCCACTTGACCTTGCCTAAAGCACATTAAACAGTAAACTGGCTTCATTCAGTTCATACAGTATCTTGCAACCCTGTGGTGCTCTCAGAATATGCAAGCCATTCCCAGATGGTAGATGGATTGCCTTGTGCTTTTACGACTAAACTCTTTTCGAGTTCCAGGAGCCGGGGGGGTCATTGTAAGATTGAAACTGGAAGCAAGTGCTAATAAATGCAGCACTGTCTTTTAAAGCCCCCACACTAGACTGTGAGCTCTCGTTTTTGGCAGATGATGAGAATAATGTCAACACCGGTCATGACTAAGAGGACCTCTAAAGATTCCATGCAAGCACATAATTTATACTGAAATAATGCAATAACAATAACGAACAGTCTCTAGGATTACACAACTCATACAGATTTCAGGAGAATAGAGAACAAAACAGACATTCAATGCATCATGCCAATATTGTGACTGGCTGCGTATGTGGATCTCTCAGCATCATAGCTGATTACTTCCATTCAAGGTTACAAGGCATTTGTTTGACTGTGTTGTTAGGGGGTTGTGATAATCTGTATTATCAACAAAACATGCAGAGCTTCCATGCTAAAACTATACTAGAGCAAGTTAAAATCACATTTCATGACTGAATATGACCAAAACAGTGTCACAAGTCATCATCATGCGGCATATTCTTAAAATAAATAATCCCAGGGCATCACAAATATCCTGCACAATGAACAACAACACTATTGACTGTCGTGTTGCACAATCCATTGCACCACACTGTTCATGATATCACATCACAGGAATGCAAAACCTCAGAAAATAACTGATTATCTTGTTTATTGTATTCTGATAGACAACAACAACAACATACAAATCACAGTGACTAATCAGTAACAGAACTAAGCCCTGATGTTTACAGCCTGTCATTTTTTTAAGTAATTGTAATTTAGCCCTGCAGCATCTAATAGCGAATAAATACTGTCTTTTTTTGGCCTTTGCTTTGTTCCATTGATTCCAAATCCATAAACTGTTTATTAAGTTTTTGGCACTTTACTGTAAATGACAATCATTCTGGCTAGTGTGTAAATAGTACAACACACAGTATATGCCAAAGAAAGCAGATGAAGCCGTTACCACCACAGATGACTTGAGCCATCCTCCTCTACGTTCATAGTCTCTATGCCCTTATACAGTAGAACCTTGTTTTGCAATGAGCAGTTGAGAAAGAGAAAAACATTTCCCAGATCCCCCCCACTCGCAAATCTATAAGTATGTGAGAGTGAAGTCACTGTTTTCCAAGATGTTTGCCAGAATGTGGGTCAGAAATTATTTGTGGCCACTTTATAAATGTTTATTTAAAAAATAATCTGAGGTGCTGAAGTGCCAGAGCCACAGTTACTACACAAACAGAACTATTCTCAAGTAATATTATGTTACACTGCATCAGTCCTTTATCATATCTGGCCTTACCTTTCTCATGCGCACTTTGACCACGCTGTCCTCTTTAAGCTCTCCGGGCTCACTTGTTCCCAGGTGTGTGCCGCTGTAAATAACTGTGTGCGCTGGCTCATGTGTTTCCTCCATTGCAGAGACTGTGACTCTTGGAGTGTGGTGTTCCCTCTGACCATCTGCCACCTCAGAGACAGGTGATTCATTGAAGTAATGACCAGAGGCTTGGTTGCCATGGAGTTCCTCTGGTGAGAGCTCATTAGTGACCTCTGCAGAGCGTGACAGAAGCCTTTGGGTGTGTTGTTTAGTAGATGCATACTTATCAGTCATATGGGACTGCTGAACAGCTGGATTTTGGTTGCAGTCTGAGGCAATGATCTTTTGAGGATCCAGTACTGGGGTGTCATCTGGCTTAACGTGGCTGACCTCTGGGATAGCATCCAGTTTTGAACAGCTAGTTTCCAGCTGAACTATAGTTTCATCTTCACAACAAGACAAGTCTTTGGACACTGACCTTTGATCCACGCCTTCCATCGGTTGACTTAGGGAGGTCGTCATTTCCACATACTGGTCTGCACACTGAGTAATGTTTGTCTGTGTGTGGTCTTCTTCTGAACGTCCGGTATCCACTTGTTCAGATGATACACTGCTGTTAATTGTCATTGAGCAACACTGACCGTTCAAACAAATATCAGATGCTTTCTGGCTACTTTCTGCTTGAGGACTTTCCTCTCCCTGTGGCTCATTCATCCCTGTCATTTCAACATTATGCTGTTGCAGCAAAGCCTGGTGGTGTATTTCACCACCATGAGCCTGATCCAGTACCTCACTGCAGTCATAATGATATTGCTCTCCTCCTTGAATACCTCCTGAGTGGTGATTAGGTCCTATATTGTCATTTAGAATTTCTAGGTCATTTAATCCATCCAATTTTCCAACAGCATCTGTGCTCCGGTTTTCAGTTACTCCTTTGTCACATTCTCCGTCTACCACTGAAGTCACAGCCAGTTCCAGTGTTTTCTTGGCCGGAGACATCAGATCACTGCCCTCCATCACTGAACTGTGCAGCGCACCGACAGGTAAGGTTACACATGCACCGGTATGGTCAGACACGGAAGTCTTTAATTCTTTATCTGGGAGGTCAGTTTGAGGTTCCTGTTCAGCAGCAGAGGAGCGGTTTACTGTGGCCTCAGAGATTTCAGGAGGTCTGCTGTAACTCTCTGTATGGCTCTCCTTTGTTTCCTGATGATCTGGAAGCTTGCCAGGCTGTTCACCAGCAGATTCAGACAGTAGAAGCCCATTGTTTGAAGAAATAGAGATGCATTGTTGCTCTTCACGAGACATATGTGGATTTTTAAAGATATTACTGTTATTGCAGATGTCGTGACTGCATCTACTCTCTGTGCCAACTTTACCTTCACCACTGATAGTTTTCTCACTGTGACTGCTGCTATCAGTTGCACAGGAAATATTTGCACTGGACATCCCACTGTTTGAGTCACAGTGAAACTCTCCACAATTCTCCATAATTGCGGTTTGGAGATGCTCTGATTCAGAGACCCTTTGAGAAATGTCAGTATTCCCCGGCACACTGGGACTATGAACTGACTCCTCCTGCAAATCCAGTGGAACTTTTTCATTGTCTTCCATTAGCTTCAAATGTTCTGCATCAGTATCATCATTCCCCAAAAAACCTTTCACTTGAAGTGTCTGAGCCAAGTTCTCTGTGGGTAATTGATGGCAGCCCTCTGGCATTGAGGCACACCTTGTCCGTCGACTTGATTTGGAAGCCCCAGTTCCCGTCCAAGGCCATTCACTGTCAACCCCATGGCAACAAACAAGATCAAGATCATCATAGCTGTACCGTAATCCTGAAGGGTGAGTCACATGCTCCTCCCAACTTCTTTTTCGTATGGCTACGGGCATGGTGGACAGCCAATGCTATCCCACATCTGCTGCAACTGAGAAAAGAGATGAGAATAAGAAACAGTCAGTGTTCCCAAATTATGAGTTTACAGGATGTGTATGTGCAGATGACAATTTAGGTAAATAATGTTTCACTTTTCAAGGAAACAGCTGGGAAACAATGAGTTCAAGTTCAAAAGGGGGGGGGATTAAATTGCAATAACAGCCCCTTGGAAAGTATATTAGATGGGTCTGTACACTGTGAGATTACAGGAACCTCTGTTAAACTAATTTAACAACATAAACTGATTCTTTAAAATAGGGCTGTTGCAAATTTTACATTAGAGCATGGTAACTACCTTGAATGACACTTTTTTGGAAATAATCTTTTTTATTTTTTGCCTTAACTATTAATAAACTTACAGGTACAAAGCCAACAAAGCCACCTAGATTCTAAAACTTCAAGATAAATGTAGGTGACCCTTGTTTACTGTTTAACATCTTTACACAATGCACTGTAACCAAACCAGATTGTCATTTGCTACACCACAAACCTTCAATACAGATTAAATTTAACTGTGCAAAACTGGTTGGAAAAAAATCAGTGGGTTGTTAAATACCCATGCACCCACAAAAACAAGAAAGGTGTAACTAAAATGACTAAAACTGCAATGTCAGTGAGTGTCCCTGAACAGGTGAGTCCCAGAAATTCAATAACTGTAAATGAGGATCGCACTCAGTGACAAGAAATCACTTTATTCTGAAAGAAAACTGATCAGTTTCAGCCTTCATCGATATTACAGTCTCACACTACAACACCTTCTTTAAACTGCATGCAGGTAAACCATCGAGTTAATTAGCCTGCACCTAGTCGAGTGATCATGAGTGAAGCAAGCTGAGTTTTTAGAAGGTAAAGGTGACAATGTGTTTCAAACCTATGAAATGCCAAATAATGGGCTTTCTAATTTAGTTGCATCAAAAAGGCACCAATGTCATACATGTACAAGATACAGTCAGCGTTTCCACAGGCTTATATAAAAAAATATGGATTAAAAAATATATATATTTAGGTTCAGGCATGCATTGCAAACATCAGGCATGTGGTCATTCATAAAGTGGTGGATATCTGAGCTCAGCAACCCAAACATTCTGTATTTATAGAAAAATTGTTGGATTACATTCTTCATTTAAAGCATTAAGATACAGAGTTTTAATCAGTCATGATTACTAAGCCAGGTGCAGGCTAATTAACTCAAGAGGTTTCACCTGTATGAAGTGTTTAAAAGAAGCAGTTGCACTATGAAACACTGATGAAGGTTGGATAGTCGGAAACACTGTCTTCTTGTGGAAAGAAGTGATTTCTATTGTTGAGTGTGAGCCAAATTTAAAGTTAATGGATTATACTACAAGGAAAATGCACCATTTTCTTCCTGAGCAAGGTGGAAAGTGTACGTAAAAAGTTCTCTGAAATTCAACGTTATCATAAAACACACAGCGAGTCCTATCACATGTAAGTCCAAATGTACAAAAGCAAAGAAACACAAGGACTCAGCAGCAGGATGCACTCAATTCAAGCTGAACATCGGCTATATTTAAAAAGACATCATGATAGAAGCATAGATATATAGGCTAAAGATATACAGTTTATAAGAAATCCTCGATATGTTTACGGTATTTTACAGGAAGTGACTGGAAACTACAATCAAGTTATATATCATACAATTTCAATATTTCTAATCATGTTAAGCAAAAATAACACCTAATTTGTGAGACAGGTGTTGTTCTTCACTTTTTCACCTTTTGTATCCTCAGAAGTGGAGCTGGATGGGACCGACTGCCATGTGCACCCTCTGGCATGAACCTGCACCTGATTATTAGTTAAGTAAAGTTAGAAAAATAGCCTTAAAGCAGTTGCTCCTTTAACTTATCCTCGAACCAAAGGCGTTTTTCAAATATCTCATGCTGGAGTAAAAATGATTACTTCTAGTAATATTTCCAGTTTCTATTATTAATCCAGTAGCTGTATATTTTGTCATTAAACATCATGTAATAATCCAAAAATTAGGTTGCAGATCCAGTATTTGCTTTGAGTACACGTATCCAGAGATGTTTTGCAAGTTGCCTTTTCATTCATCCACCAAAAACTATCCGTGCACGTTTGGGTAATCTGAATCCACCTCTTCCCAAGTGACATGACATACGGCTTATTTTGTAAGCAGTCCTTAGTTTAGGTTTCTGCAAGCCATTTTCTGGACTCCAGTCAGTATCTTCGCTGTAAAACTGCCGGAAAGGCAGTGGAGCCTCCAAAGACAGGCAGACAGCCGGGGAACAGTAAAAAGTCCACAACTTCCATCTTGATCACATTAGGGTTTTTGCTGACGCTGAATGCCAAAGAGTCAGGGTGGTGTAATAGGGGCTGGGTTTTCTTTCCCCCACTCCACCCCTGCTCTCCTCCGTTCAAACCCGTTTCTCATCAGGTCCCCTCCCGGCTGATTTTGACAGGGAGTCTTGAGTCACATCCTAGGAGCCCCATCCCCCGTCTCACAACTTATCCAGTATGCTACACACATTTGTTCACTCCACCCTCCTGTAATGTACGTTTTCTTCTCACTATTTTAGAAACTTCCTCCCGACTTCTTCTCTCAGGAAAATTTGACTCTTTCCTCTTCTCAGTGAACTTAGTCTTCGTTCTTCCTTAGCTTGCTCTTTCACTCAGCTGGGCAAGGCTCCCACCCGTTGGTTTAGATTAGAAACAGACAGGCTGCCTCGTAAGACCTCTGGTGGTGGGCCAAGAAAGATTGCTCTAATGTTTTGGCAGTTATATCTGAGGCATGCTTTTTTTTTTGTAAATTTGTCATCTTGTAATTCTACAAGCATTCTTAACCAAACACGCTGCCACTAATGAAAAAATACAAGATATCTTTACAGATATACTTTTAGAATGTATTGTTCCAAATATTCTTTAAAAATATCTGAAAAATATAAATATGATCACTGAAAAAAAAGTTCTATGACAATAGGGACAACTTTAAAAGTGCTGTCTCCCTAATACTCTTGTTTTAATAGGAGACCAAATGGAAATGTTTAAGGACCCAAATACCAGTAATTCATTTCCTAATATAGTCATTTATCAGCAGTGCTCAGTAGAAAAGGCAAGGCCAGACATTTTTACACTTGATGTGACTAAGAACATTTAAAACAAATGTTAAAACTCTAACCCCAAAACAACACTAACACCACTCTGGCAATAACACCTCTTTTAATATTCTCCTTTGTGTTACCCGAGTAATCCCCTAAAGTTATGCCAACTACTTTCACTCATGTGACCAAATGTATGAATGCAATTCTGGTCAACAAAGTTAGTTGCACTAAAAGAGCAATGTGTCCAAGCAACACAGACAACCTAAGCACAAGAGCGAACTGGAATTAAGCCCCCTCCAACTGCCATGACAACCCCGACCTCTAACTTCTGGGTCATCCAGATGTGAGATGAGACTCTGGTTGAATCTTTTCTTAGGAGCCTTGCTGGGAAACTGTGCACTGCTGTCACTGTTGACTCTCCAGGGACACAGATGGCCATACTCAAGGGGAAGGATCCAAGTTCAACAAGACTCCTCTGGGGCACGTCACATGATGCGCTCTGTGGTTATGCCGGGCACAGCATAACAAAATACAGATCTTTTCAGTCACAGTGGATATGGCCGTTGATTGAAGTGCAGAGGCCGACACACAGCGTGACTCAGGCTATCCACTCATTACCTCTTGTGGACATCCAACACAAGCCTATAATTTAAAAGAGCAGGCCTGCTCCCTCTGCCAATCAGATCATCCTGCACGAGCAATGGCAACTGGTCCACATCAAAATGTGATTCATCAGTGACGTTCTGCAAACACATGTTCAATCAACAGCATGTGTGAGCTTGGATGCCCGTCAGCAAAGTCTCCTTATGTGTGGTTGTGTACAACCTACAATAGAACACAAGCACAAAAATTGGAACATTAAAACAAAATGTAGCTTGAACAAGACAAGATGACTTTACAGTCATGTGGTGCTTTGAGCTAACAGCAAGCATACTAATATGCTAACAATGACAATGCTAGCAGGTAAAATGTTTACCATGTCCTCCATCTAAGCTGGGTGTGGGTGTCTAAACACAAAGTAAACCACCGTACTGGAGAAAATAAGAATTTGATGGTGGCACTAGAGGAAAAAAGTAATTATACTTCATCCTAAATTTGTGTATCAAATGTTACAGCAATCCATCCAATATTTGAGAAATTCCACCTCCAAATCACAAAAGTCAACCTCTGGAAAAGTTGGAGAATCACAAAAATCTGTAGGATTCATCCTCTTGGGACCACAAATAACAAAAATTCATAGCAATCCATCTAATTGTTGAATATTTCAGTCTGAGTCAAAGTGGTAGACCAACTGACTGCTTGATCATTTGACATTTCCATCCCTAGCGTCATGCTGTTAGCATGGCTAAAAACAATTAAATCTCAGTGCAGTATATTCTATTTTGACATCTGTGTAAATTTATACAGCTTTGGGAATATTTATTTGCTCTTAAGAGTGATAGTTACAAACTAGACACTATCTAAGTCTCACACCACAGAGGATGAGCATGACCATTCTCATACAGTAAGCATGCAGCATCACTGGTCACATGTCTAGAGCAGTCACATACATGGAAAGAAAGACCTATTCATGATTCACCCTATAATTCCCCACTGTTCAACCCCTCAACTTCTTAAGTGGAGCAGTGAGGGCCCAAAGGAAATAGGCTCACATTCCTTACTGAGATAGTTTATTATTGGAAAAATAAACCGGTCTAATTCATGGGCAATTCAGTGTTTGCCCACGTAGGAAAATGTAGGTGACGTTTACTGAGAAAAAAACCAAATGTTTTCCTCATAACTGAGTCACTTTGAGTCCTTGCATATACAAAGACTGCTTTGAGAAAACTTTGTTTCACTCATCCTAAGGCCTCTTTAAACAATTGTTTGCTACTGTATTTGCCTAGTAGTTATGTGATGCTGAAAAAACAGATCTTGGGTTCACTCACACTGAGAAGAAAGCTAAACTAAATGCCAGAATCTCATCTGAAGAGCTAAAAATAACTTCAACTAACCACACCGAGACTGGTGCAATCCTTTGCTGTCACTCGCTATGCCCTGTGGTTAACAACTCCTTTTCAAAAGCCTTGAGTCATCCCAATTGAAATAGCATTGCCTGAGGCCTGGATGAAAGCTTGAGCAATCACAGTGTTCTTGAATGAAACATCCCACTGTAGATGATGCAACCTAAGACCATGATAAAGGCCAGGTTAGTGCTATGCTGGCTTTTTTAATAAAAAAATAAATAAAAAGGAAGTCTAATTATTTGTTGATTTTGATTTGCTTTGCTTCTGTTGTTCTAAACAAAAGAAGTCATCATGGGAGACACCAAGGGGGCTCTAGGGCACTGGTCATATAGTATAGTGTGCCTGTTACCGTGGGAAAAAGGAAGCACAAGTTATCGAGGATACAGGCTGAAATAGTCTAATCTTCTTGAGAACGGGCTTCTATGAGTATGTGTGTGTATGATACAACGTGTGTAGGATTGTATTTGTCTATGACTCAGTGTGTGTGTGTGTGTGTGTGTGTGTGAGAGAGAGAGAGAGAGAGATAGAGAGAAAGGGAGAGAGAGATAATACAGACTTGTATCATCTGGGCCTTATATTTTTAGGATAACTGAAAAATACTGTGTCACACAGTGAGAAAGTCCATCAGTGTGTACTCACTATGTACCACCTGCATTTTGTGTTTTTAGTACCGTCACGTTGTTAAACAACTTGGATGACTAATAGTGTCACACTGCCATTTTGGCAGTCACTAGCAGTCATCACTGACTACATTAAGGATGACTACTCTATATACAAAATACTTCACATCAGCAAATTTAAATATGTAAATACTAAACTATCAGGACTGTTCAGAGGGAATGAACTTCATTATACACCAAGGCTTTAGATATTTTAACTATACATTATATAATCAAAACATCAATGTCGTGCTAACAGGCATCTGGAATATCCCATTTTTGTGTTGCATGCAAGCATGTTAATGCTTTTATAATTGGATAAATTCTTATGCTGCTCTAAAAAAAACTTGCATCAGTGTACATATTAAGTACACTAATGAAAATAGGTTACTAAAGATAAACAATCTATTCTAAACAAGACCTTGATGATGCCATGAAATGGAAACTTACATTCAAAGTTCAAAGTGTTTATTTTGTCATATGCACAGTTAGGAAACGTGTTTCCCTGTACAATGAAATTCTTACTTTGCTGTCCACATGAATGCCATAAAATACAAATGAAATAAAAAGTTGATAACACAAAATCTAAGGCACTTTAAGCAGCAACAGATGTAGCAATATAATAAAAATATATATAAGGATATAACAGAATGTATGCTGCATGGAAGCAGCATGTGCAGCAGAGTCATTGTGCAATTATGCATGTAACACAAATAAGTAACACAAAATCTAAGACACTTTAAGCAGCGGAAAATTCCCATTATTAAGAACACTGTATCTTTAATGGTGACCTCATCCTAGACAAGCAGGAATAAGCAAAACCTCTGACCAAAGCTACCACAAACGTTCTCTCGCCTCTCTCCCTCTCTCTCTTGATCCCTTTGGTCTTAATCCAGACATCTTGAATCTAGATCTTAGCCATCCAGGAGACTCTCCGCTCACCTCTTGCCTTCTTGCTTATATATTAATGCTATCTTTGAGTTTTGTGTGTGTGATGTGTAGCCTGTCCTGTTTCCAGGTTTTTGTAGTCCAGAGAAAGTTGTGTGGCCCAGGTCCTGTATTGGTGGCACCTGGATGCTGACTGACATCTTCCTGGATTCATATTCTTGATATATATTTACCGTCTATCTACCTAACATTGTCATTATGTTTCTCCATATTGTAATTTGGCTATTGTCATCTATTACATGCTTGTCCACAGGTTTGTTGGGGTGAGTTTTCAACTCCAGGATTTAAGAATAGAGCACAAATTGTAAACCGCTTTGACGTCGCTTTGTGATTTGTAATTTGAGCTCTATAAATAAAAGTGACTTGAGCTGACTTTCCTTCCAAATCAAACTGCCTTTTTTTCCACTATGTTAAAGATAGGGATACATTGTACAAGTAAATGCAGTCTATGTTCTGCTCAGACAATTTACCTGGATCTCAAACGGTCCTATAATGGTCAAAGCACATGGGAGCAGGTTTGCATTTACGTCTTCTTCTTCCTCCTTCAGCTGCTCCCCAGTTTTTGGGGTTCACCACAGCAGATCACTACAATCCATATACAGTATGTGATTTGGCACAGGTTTTAAACCAGATGACCTTCATCCTGCAGCCATTCCAGGCTTGGGACCTGGCACATGCTGCTAGACCTGGCTGGATGTAGCAACAGCTCCCTGGTATTCCCAGGTGATCACCCATCCTCATACTAACCACACCCCAGCACCCATAGCTCAGGCATGACCAAGGTAGTGTGGCTACAGCAGGAAACCATTATTGTACTTTAAACATATGGCCCATAACCCTATAACCACCTGCACCTGGGCACATTCTCACACTTTTGTAGTCTTAAAATGCAGGAAGGAATGCACAGAGTCGTATCTACATAAACATATGCATTATCCATAAATGTGGCAAATGTTTCACAAGCTGATATTACAAAATGTGGCCATATTGTATACAAGAAGTGGCAGAGACTTAGTTTTGCTCATTTCTGATATTTTTTTTTATATCAAAACTTAAATTCAGTTATGTGCTGATTTAGCCAACATAAAACTACAGTACTTTTCTTGAGCTATGCACATAAATGAGAAAGCAGCTGTCAGGATTTGATTTCAGAGGCTCATCTTGAAATAGGCACTGTTTGTTTTAACAAAGGTAAAATGATTCACAAAGAACCTATTGTGAAATTGAAAAATGAGTCATTCACCACATCCACCCATCTTGGCAAAAAACAAACAAAAGAATAAGATCACACACCATGTAGAGACTCCAAGATATTTGCCTTTTAGAATTTATCACATCCTCCAAAACTTGACATTTTCTAATGACTTCAATCTTGAAACCATATGAGGACAAAGACATAACATTTGTCCTCTAGTCTTGTTGTTTATGATGAATAATTCTTGAGCTCAGACCAGTCCCTGTGAGAGCCAGGGCAGTGACGTACCACACCCCCCCACCCTGGATACTGCTGAACATATGCTGTACTGGCACGAACTCCTCCAAGAGAGGTCCAGGAAAGTGTGTTGTCCTAGGACACTGTTGCCACAGCAGCATCACTGGGAAATACTTGAGACCAAGAGTCAGGAGATGAGGGGCCAGGAGCTGATTCATCATTTGATCAACAGTTATGTTTTCACTCCGTGTTCGTTTGCATATTGGCTCCAAATGTAACCTCCCAACACCTGCCCTCATTCTCTCAGATACATACGTACATTCATATACAGCTACTCGTCGTATGCTCTGGTCCTGCAAGATCTATCTATATTCTTTTACTTTTAGTTCTGCTTTTAATACATATTGACACAATAAGAGGTATTATGAGGAATAAGGCTGTCTGGGATACATCTCTGAACTCACTCCACTGTAGTACGTTCTGTACCTTCACAGAGTCAAAAGTGGAGAAGGCCGCCACAGTTAAATATTTACAGTCTCTTCGGGTTTTCCATGTAGTGCAGTACAAACGTTTATAGAGCAGCGGGGGGAAGACGTGCTACCTCTTCTTCAGAAAAGTGTTTGACTTTACATCCCACTCAGGAAGAGTAGTCTGCAGGAAACTTTCACTATGAAGAGAAGAAGCCTCTTGGAAAACAGCAGATAGGGGGTGATAACTCCATGTGAAAGATGCTGTTTCAAATATCTGAATCTGGTTAGGACACATGGCTTGTATTTTTTTAAATAGAATAATCGGTTGCATGTCTCCGCCAACCAGTCAAATTCACAGGTACTGGACAGATGTGAGGTCACTGACCTTGATCTTTGACCACCAAACTCTAATCAGTTCATTACTGAGTCCAAGTGGACACATGAGCCAAATTTGAAGAATTAGGCCGTACGAACGGAAGGACAACTGCGGCTGCAGCTATCACCGGTGTGGAGGTATAAATAGGTTGCCTGACCAATGGCTATTCAAGGATTCAAGATTTTTATTTGCCATTTATGCATAAACAGACAGTCTAGGCATATAGGAATTCTTGTGCAGCTGTCCTTTGTAGTCAGGTAAGGAGTCAAAAGAAAAAAACACTTAGTCTTAAAATAAAAAAGTCACATAAGGGCGACAAAGTATTAAAACATAATACACAAAAATAGGGTAATAGTATTTCCCTCCACCATCGCACTTAGTAATTCACATGGTGGAGTTGGATATGTCATTACGCTTGGTGAGATAGTGTGGGGTTATTGCACATATATTCTCACATTTCTCAAATTTTCGTATTTGCCATCAGTCTTACTGTGGCAGGGTAAAAGCTGTTGTAAAGTCTTGTTCTGTGTGTGATGATAATGTCTGTCCTGCTGTGCCTGTGGCTGTAGGTGCAGTTTTTGTGTCTGAGCAGAGAGTGAGCTGGGTGGCGTGGATCCCTGATTATGTTCTCTGCCCTTTTATGACAGCGCTGTGTGTATAGTGTGTCCATAGCAGGCTATTGCCAAAGAACACAGATTAAAGGTATCAGGGCATACATTGTTCCTATGCAGAAATCATGATTTATATGAAGGGGACAGACAGAAATACAGATGCAACACAGAAACAAGATTTGCCTGAGAACATAAATAACTACCTCTTGCTTGATATTGTAAATATGTCCCTCTCTAGGAAGCTCTTACCACATGCAATTGCACAGTGAGTGGGGATGCTGCAGCACTCTCTGTCAATAGGTATGCCCACCCAAGTGTCTGTGAGCAAGATCATATCCTGTAGTCCGCCGACAGAAGGCTCCCTTGGACTGCCTGTAATCGATCAATAAATTTGCATTTGATGAAAGAAACGATTGCAATAACATAATACAGCCTGCTGGGGGCGACAAAATCTTTTTGAGCTGCTACTCCTTTAGATAAACAAGCAGCTGGTCTGTTGGTTTTTATTTATATTATAATCTTTTATGTCATTGAGTGCATTGTTAGTCATTAATATGTTGAAAAATAAAGAAAATGAATGAGCAGACTGTTCATGCACAAAAAAATAAGAGGATCTTATAATAAGCAGCTGCTCCACAAACTCTCGTGACCTGTGTAGAGTCCGTTTTTGAACCTTTTTGCTCACCTCTGGCTTCTGTTGAATTCAGTCCATTTTAGTCAATTACGCATTAGCCGTACTTTTATAATCTTTTTTTTTCTGCCACAAGGAGCCCTGTCACAACTTTGGCCATCCAAAATTCTTCACGGTTACAAGACAGATACTTCATTACTCCAGCAAACGGCGCCAAATTCTACAAGTGCCCTAATCTAATGTAGCCTGCATGCAGACTGCTATGCTGCATTCAGGGCCCTTTGTAACGTTCGAGCATTGAGTGAGGATTTGAACTAAAACAGCAACAGCACAATTTGCGGTGAGTTTCAGTTGATTTTCATGTTGTACATGTACAAGATTGTTTTTCTAGACCTTAGTGCTGTCTACAGATAATGCTGTCTTCATATTGAAGAATACAGTTTGTCTGTAGATGTAGGCTGTCTAAATGTGTTTTTTCTCTTATGTATTGAGTCAGTATATTGCACATCAGTCTACCCTCATAATTACAAAAATCATGTGTCACTTATAAAACATCTGATGAGCTATAGGTTCCCAATATTCCCATGTAATTCCTTAGAAAGTTTCCATGTTTTAGTGGCATCACTATGAATGCTTCAACATAAGCCCTCCCATTGGCTAGATGATGCTTGTTCATTACCAAGAACCCTTCTATTGTTTAAAGAAAAAAGTCAAAATTGACTTATGCGTATTATTCTACCACTTAATAAAGTGAGTGACTTCTGTCGACAACACTTTTTGATTTATTTCACCAGCCACTCCAAAGAAGGAAAGCAAAAGGTGCAAAGCAACAAAAAAGAAACAAAAGTGAGAATGAAAAAGAGAGCTTTCATGAAGGCTGTTTTTTTTTTTTAATAAAGACAACTATTGTTGCCTCTGGTTTGTTTCTCTGCGCGATCACTTGGATTTTCGATAGACCGTGAATACAGCATAACAATTTTCTCTTCTTCCGCGTTTACCTGCAACTTTAACTGTAGACATATAGATACCTAATGGGCGTTTACCAGTGAAGTGAAGAGGGCGTAAAAAAGGATAAAACAATATATTTCTGTTCTTGTTACACAAAGAAGAAGAAGAAGAAGAAAAAGAAAGGGAAAGGGAAAAGGAAAAAGAAGAAGAAGAAGAAGAAGAAAGGGAAAGGGAAAGGGAAAGGGAAAAGGAAAAGAATGCGCTAAAAAGTTTAACCAAAGAAAAGGACACTTAAGGTTTTGTTTACGTTTAGCTGAAGTTGTGTTGTTATTCACAATGGGATGTTGTAACAGCACAGAGGTAAGTTAGCTATCGTAAAAACACATGATGGAAGTTATAGCTACTTTAAAACTTGAAAACCGAGCAGCAGACGAGCTTTTCACGTCGTGTGCAACGTTAACGTCACTTCTTACGCTCAAGCAGTCTTTTTTTTTTGTAACAACAACAACAACAACAACACAGTAGCTACTTTGTTAGCTGATTTCGGTGCCACATGTAGCTACTGCACGGCAGTCTCAACAAAAACAGAATAAAGAGTAACCAATCCTTGTAATAATTTATGCCTTGGCAGAGTAAACGTGATTGGAAACCGCTGGAGGAGCGCAGCTGTACGGACATCCCATGGCTCATTATATTCACACTGTTTTGTATTGGAATGGTAAGTCTTGACTCGGGTTATCGCTAAACGTAGTCCGATACACCAGCCCTGCTTTCAACTCGAAATGTTAAGTTTCGGTTAAAACAGTTTTAGGTCGGTGTTTATCAAACTTAACAGTAATGCTCGAGCATGCTGTGTAGCTATTTAATGTGTTGGTTTCCAATGAGGGTAACATTTGAGTTGTTTTGCATTACACTCTGTTACTTTGCCAGAATAGAATCGAACAGCACCACAATCTGTAGCTTTCAATCTTATTACCTTTGTGAAGAGATAATTTATTGCACGACTGTTGTATTAGACTACATTAGTTTTTACTAGGTGCATCTAATAACATATGAAGTGTGAGCATTTATGAATGTCTGCCTTTTATATCCTCATAGTCCACACTGAAACTGAGATAAAGTTAGAAAGAGGGATCAGTGAATGGTCCTTTGCAAACTGCTAACCTTTATTAAGTCTTTTTATTTTCTGCTGTTTCATATTTTGACTTCATTAGATTTTAGAGAAAGTATTGTATTTTTTTTTACCCATTTTTATTTGATCACTTGTAACAGTATTTTTACACTGTGGTATTAATACTTTTACTTAAGTAAACAATCTGACTACTTCTTTCAGCACTGGATACAACTTTAGACGGAGGATGTGGTTTGTGGTGTTCTTGAATCGTATTGGGTTATAGCCCTATTCAGCGTGACATAGTATACTGTAACACAAATATAATACAATTCAGTTCAGCAGTACCTCAAACTACAGTCCTCAGATCAATTATAAAGTTGAGTCAGCACCTTTATCCTGATTGAGTCTCATCAAAACCTGAGCTTTATAACCTTCATGATGTTTGGGTTTATTGCAGGACTGTTGGACTAGACTGTTTCAGCTGCTGTCCTTATATTTCATGCAGATAGTTTACATTATCTCATTTGTGTCATGTGCAGGCATGTATTTGTGGCTATCCCATCGCCACAGGAGCTGCCTCCAGGCTTATCTCAGGATATGACAGTTATGGCAACACCTGCGGCCAGACCAACACTGAGGTCACCGGAGTACCCCTCAGCGGCCGGGACATGACAGAAAATAAGTTAGTCGGATTTCATAGCAATAATTTAACAAGTGACATAGTGATCTATTTATATCTGATGACTCTTTTTTTGAATGAAACGTTATTTTAGAATAAGACACATTGTATATGATGCATCAAACCCTGCTATCTCAAGTAGTTTCATTTGCTGTTTTCCTGATTAGATCACAAACTGAGCATGTAGTAACTGATTGAGTACATTACAAAGTAGATGTTGACGTCTTTTACCCTCTGTGTTTGAGTGTTGGCGGCACAGTAGAAGCTCTGTTTGAGCATGCTAGAAGCCGTTCAGCATTACATGTGTGCATGCAAGAGTTAAATCATGATCCTAATCTAAGTTGAAGCAAACAACTGCATTGTAAACACTTCAGTGTTTACATCTCATGCTGTGGGGTACATACTATAGTTGGTAAGACTGAGCTGTCCAGACTATGACCTACTTAAAAGAACCCTTCCAGTCCTTTCATAAAGACACTTAAATTACTCTGCTTTGAATAATACACCCAGTTTAACTTAAGATCCTGCATATCACATTTCTTTTTATTGTGTGATGTCACAAATCATGGCCATTCGTGTATGTCTTCAAGTTTTAATTTGAGCTCAGAGAAACTTTCTGTCAGATGTCACCAACCCAGAACTACACTGACTCTTCTGCTGCTCAAGTTCTTCATACGTTGTAACTGTGGACTGCACAGTTTTAAGAGCATACACTATGTCCCTATATGTAATTTTATGAACATCTAAGTTAATATATTATTGTTATCATCCTGAGAGAACTGTCATAAATTCTCTTCTTGCCATAATTTATGTAAGAAGTCTGGTTATCTTCATGCTTTTGGGTGTGTGGTGTTCCATCTGCATGTGGCCTGCAGGCCCAGTTTTACTGAAACAATGGGTCATGCTTTATTGATGGGCAGATTGCCCGTGGAGGCTTTGAATAAAAGGCGTTTCTGCTACAAAGAAGGATCTGTGTGACAGGGTTGAAAATGCCACCATTTTCATTTTCTGCCCAGACTGAACAGTCCCAGCTGGCTTAGCAAAAGTAAAGATACTGATATTATTTACTTGTTTCTTATTTTAGGGGGAGGGTGTGGCAGCGCACTGTACTGAACAGTTAATAAATCTGAAATTCCAATTTTTCTTCCTACCAGGTATGTTTTCTTTCTAGACCCTTGCAACCTTGACCTCATTAACAGGAAGATTAACTCCATTGCCTTGTGCGTCTCCAAGTGTCCTGCTACTGAGCTTCAGACATATGACGATTTAAAGAAGTTTGCTTTGAATAATGGTGAGAAAACTGCTCAAGTGAAAGATATTTTTGGAAAAAGGTGGTCTCTTGTAACTAAGAGTGTCTGTAAAAGATGTAGGACATAAATGGGATATACACTGAATGCTATTATTATTTTTTGCCGGTCTTAAAAGTATGTTAATGACCCTGAACATGTAATCTAAATTTTTGTTTTCATGTTGTTAGGCTCTTTCCTCTGCTCCTATGATATTTCTGCTACAAGATACACAAGCCATTCAGAAAGAAACACGAAATGTCCCAAACTCCCTGTTCTGCCAAGGTAATTAAGGATGTCCTTTAGCTTTTAACAAACTCTTAACTCTAAACCAGGAGACTTACTTCAGCATTGTTATTTCCTGTGAAAAGCTACATCCAGTAAGGGCTTCTCAAGGGTATGGTGCAGCTGATGTCAGTGCAATGTGTTTAAACCAGGGCAACAAATGATCAGAGACATTAATGTCTGGTTTTTATAGAGGGCTATATGCTATTCCTGGCATTAGAAAATAGTTTTTACAGGTATTTTGAGGTATACAGTTCAATCAGTTAGTCATTGTTCTGCCTGGTTAACACTAAAACAAACAATACTGTACTGCTTGCAGTTATACACATTCCAGGGCCTAAAGGGACAAATAAATAACATAAATCAATGTAGTTTGCCATAGTTCACACTGTAGTCCTCTGCTTTAAGGACTGCTTTTTAAAAATAAAGATATATACAGTCATGTGAAAAAATTAGGACACCCTTTGAAAGCATGTGTATTTTGTAACATGTTTTAATATATGGTTATTTAATCTCAATTTTAACAATACAGAGAGATTAAAGTAATACAACTAAACAAGTAAAACTGAAGAAAAGTCTTTTCAAGATCTTCTGTAAATGTAATTCTACAAAAATGCCTATTCCAACTGAGGAAAAAGTTAGCACACCCTCACATGTATGCCCTCTTAAAATGGCTCAAATCACACACAGGTATATCACACCAGGTGCACATAATTAGTAGATCGTTACTCAGCATTTTGAATGAGGCTTGCCCCATCTAAACCTCAAACATTTAGTTTGGTGTGCTCCTGACTGTTGAAGTGAGAGTGAGCACCATGGTGAGAGCAAAAGAGCTGTCAGAGGCCTTCAGAAAAAACATTGTAGCAGCCTATGAGTCTGGTAAAGGATTTAAAAAGATCTCAAAAGATTTTGAAATCAGCCATTCCACTGTCCGGAAGATAGTCTACAAGTGGAGGGCTTTCAAAACAACTGCCAACATGCCCAGGTCTGGTCGCCCCAGCAAGTTCACACCAAGAGCAGACCGCAAGATGCTAAAAGAGGTCTCCAAAAACCCTAAAATGTCATCTCGAGACCTACAGCAGGCTCTGGCTACTGTTGATGTAGAAGTGCATGCCTCTACAATCAGAAAGAGACTGCACAAGTTTAACTTGCATGGGAGGCGTGCAAGGAGGAAACCTTTGCTCTCTAAGAGAAACATCAAGGCCAGACTGACATTTGCCAGAGAGAATGTTGACAAAGACCAGGACTTCTGGAATAATGTTCGTTGGACAGATGAGTCCAAAATTGAATTATTTGGACACCAGAGCAGAGGACATGTTTGGCATAAACCAAACACAGCATTCCAGGAAAAGAACCTCATACCAACTGTGAAGCATGGAGGTGGAAGTGTCATGGTTTGGGGCTGCTTTGCTGCAGCAGGACCTGGTCAGCTCACCATCATAGAATCCACCATGAATTCTACTGTGTATCAGAAGGTGCTTGAAGAACATGTGAGACCATCGGTTAGAAAATTAAAGCTGAAGCGGAACTGGACCATGCAACATGACAATGACCCAAAACATACTAGTAAATCAACCAAAGACTGGCTGAAAAAGAAGAAATGGAGAGTCCTGGAATGGCAGAGTCAAAGTCCAGACCTGAATCCCATTGAGATGCTGTGGGGTGACTTGAAAAGGGCTGTACATGCAAGAAACCCCTCAAACATCTCACAGCTGAAACAATTCTGCATTGAGGAGTGGGATAAAATTCCCTCAGACCGATGTCAGAGACTATTAGATGGCTACAAGAACCGTCTCACTGCAGTTATTTCAGCCAAAGGAGGTAACACTAGCTATTAGGGGCTAGGGTGTGCTAACTTTTTCCTCAGTTGGAATAGGCATTTTTGTAGAATTACATTTACAGAAGATCTTGAAAAGACTTTTCTTCAGTTTTACTTGTTTAGTTGTATTACTTTAATCTCTCTGTATTGTTAAAATTGAGATTAAATAACCATATATTAAAACATGTTACAAAATGCACATGCTTTCAAAGGGTGTCCTAATTTTTTCACATGACTGTATATATTGTTCTTCATCTTTTTCATGTTTGCAGTAAGGCTGTTCCGGTTTTCCACCGCTGTGTTCCTGTGGATATTGGCTGCTATGTTGAATTTGCCCAGGCATTCATCACATTTGTCAGTGACAACACTGTGCTGCGCCGGGTCATCGCTGGGGTGATGGCCAGCAAGGAGATCATCATGGGCCTTTGTGTTTTGGCTCTAGGTAGGCTAGATGTAATCAAGTGCTATAATATACACACGGGTGGCAAATATAAGGTCTCAGTAAGGTGTCAGGCCACCAGAAGAGCTTCAGTGCACCTTGGCATCGATTCTACAAGGCTCTGAACTCGACTGGAGGGATGAACACCGTTCTTCCAAAAGATATTCCCTCATTTGGTGTTTTGATGATGGTGGTGGAGATGCTGTCTGACACGTTGGTCCAGAATCGTTCAACTAGGTTAAGCTCTGGTGACTGTGAAGGCTGCAGCATATAATTCACATCGTTTTCCTACTCATCAAACCATTCAGTGACCCCTCATGTCTTTTGAATGGGGCACTGTCATCCTGGAAGAGACCACTCATTTATTACATTTTTTTCTTCATTAATTTGCCACCTGTCTGTATGCATGTAGATACTTTTTTTAGGTATACTGCTGCTGCCTTTTTTCTGCTGCTCCCACTGCACAACTCTAATTGCTCAAGAGGATTCAGTAGGAAGACAACTAAAGGGAAATTATTTTGTCAGAATAATGGCAGGAAATGGCTGAGTGCTTAGAGCCATTGTATCTACTGAAGCTTGGCCTCCAGGCATTAATTCAAGGTCTGTTGTAACTCCTCCCATTGGTACATCATAAAAGACTGTCAGTTACAAACATCTTTCATAAAAACAGTTTTTTCTGCCTGTTTTGGGTGTGTAATAAATCAAGACTACATGATTTATAACAGGATATATCTTCCTTTTGTCTTTCACATCTTCATGTTTTGCTGTTTAAATGAAGCACAGCCCCTCATATTTTTAGATGTATTGCATTTTTTAAAGTCTTATTTATGTTACCATAAAACCAGAAGTTGTTTGCAGCTTGATGCTACTGTTTCCAATGTTAGTGATGTTTGATAGACTCATATGATGCACTGTGTTTTTTCTCTAATGCAGTTCTGTCCTTAATCATGATGGTCGTCATTCGTTACATCTCCAAACTACTGGTGTGGATTCTAACAATCCTGGTAGTCATCGGCTCAATAGGTAACTTTCAGAAGCAACATACTGTACATGTTCTCTCTTACCTACCCACCTAATTCATTTAGATATTTTTAAATATAGTAGTGGCACTCTCAGTTACATTATGCTGATGCGACACAACGGTACAGGACTCTTATACTCTGGTCTTTTGCAGGTGGGACTGGTGTTCTCTGGTGGCTGTACGCTGACCACAGGAATGCTTTTAAACAAAACATCTGTATTTGGGAAAGAAGTGGCCTCCGACAATGTAAAGGCCCTGCTTGTGTCTGCGATTGGTGCTACAGTTTTTACGGTATGTCTGAGTGTGCACGTATTGTACGTGTTCTAGAGCACGGATCTGGCTTCATATTTCTGTCAGAACCCGACAAGCTTATAATATATAATGTTTGAGCCCAGCACAATTGAGTTTGTACAATGTTTTTCCCCTTATCATTAAACAAAGCAGACATTTGGGTGCTTCAGCTGTCTAGCCTAAAGCATGACCTATATGTCAGAACCCAACCCAGACCCGAACATGATTACCAAATTTCTGTCCGAACCCAGCCCAAACCCTTGGAAGAATCCCATTGGGCTCAGTTTGGGTATCCACACTCTAATGTGTGCATGTATTTGGCTTTAGTGTGTATCCTATATATCACTAGAGTAATAGGTGTTTTTCATAGTTTCACAAAGTACATAAAATACACCAATTTTATACTTAAAAAAAACAGCCTGTGGAATTTAGACATTGTTGGATAGGAAGGTTAAATTATACAGCTGTTTCCTGGTGTGACATGAAAGGTCCTTGCATTTAAATGTAAATCCCAACTATCTGCTCATTTTAGTGATTTCATTAGATCACTGGTCATTGTGTAACGCTACAGGTAGTTCTCCTGCTGGTGATGTTCTTCATGAGGAAGCGTGTGGCCCTCACCATCTCCCTGTTCCATGTGGCTGGTAAAGTGTTCATCCATCTTCCCCTGTTGGCCCTTCAGCCTTTCTGGACCTTCCTCTGCCTCATGCTGTTCTGGGTCTACTGGATCGCTGTGCTTCTCTTCCTCGGGACTGCAGGTTAGGACGAAGCCTGGTGGGAAAATTCCAGTACTGGAAGTTCATCGGTGTGGGTTATGGGAATGTTTGTCAGATTCAGAACTGCATTTGCAATTCAGAATGCTTTTGTTGGTGTATACTTGCTCCAGACATGTTTTGAATGTCAGTGCAGTACACACTATCAGATGTCTCAGTGATACCATTTGCCAAACAAGGAGAATATTAGGTTTGTTACTTGTGGCATTTTGTCTTGGTTTCATGGCATGACTAAACTCCCACATTTGAAAACTTGTTCCAGTCTCGTGATGTGGGTGGACTGAGTCAAAGAACCCCTTCTTTATTCATCTCCCACTTCTCTTTTATACAGCTGATTTTTAATTCCAACAAAGTAGTAATGAAAACAGCAGGCCAGTGCAACTGAATAATCACATTTTCTTTCTTCACGTTCACTGGGGGGGTTGTTTATTTTTCCAAGCTTTCCCAATCTATTTCTATTTGTATATATAGCTGTGTAGAAGAGTGTCAAGAGTATGCATAGTGACAGAGCAGTGGTCGACAACTAAGTTGTTGCATACGGTCATACTGTACATCAATTAAAAGTAAAAGCTAGCCGTGCCCACTTTATTGAACTTGTTTGCAGGTAGGATGTTTAAAAATATCAGGGAAATTTAGAAGGGCTAACTCACACTTGTATTTCCCTCACAGGGACTCCAGTAAAGAACAACTCTACAAATATGGTTGAATATCATATGCAAGGACCTCTTCAGTACTTGGTGTGGTATCACGTTGTGGGTCTCATCTGGATCAGTGAGTTCATTCTTGCCTTCCAGCAGATGACCATCGCTGGAGCTGTGGTCACCTACTACTTCACAAGGTAATAAAGAAAATAGGGCTGCACTTGGCTACAGATTTTGTCAGTCGACTGTCAGTCAGATCTTCAGAGTGTGACTTCAGCTATTTGTTTTTTCTTTTAATATTTAGTCCTTCCCTTGTTCCTCTGGTTTCTGCTGCCTGAGGTGTTCACTAAGCATGTCATCACTCAGGGCCATCTTCCTGATGTATTCATGGATCCTTGTTGTGTCATCCTGGATAGTGAGGCTTGTCCTTCCATGAAGGTTCCTGCTCGTCCTTCCCTTGTTCCTCTGGTTTCTGCTGCCTGAGGTGTTCACTAAGCATGTCATCACTCAGGGCCATCTTCCTGATGTATTCATGGATCCTTGTTGTGTCATCCTGGATAGTGAGGCTTGTCCTTCCATGAAGGTTCCTGCTCGTCCTTCCCTTGTTCCTCTGGTTTCTGCTGCCTGAGGTGTTCACTAAGCATGTCATCACTCAGGGCCATCTTCCTGATGTATTCATGGATCCTTGTTGTGTCATCCTGGATAGTGAGGCTTGTCCTTCCATGAAGGTTCCTGCTCGTCCTTCCCTTGTTCCTCTGGTTTCTGCTGCCTGAGGTGTTCACTAAGCATGTCATCACTCAGGGCCATCTTCCTGATGTATTCATGGATCCTTGTTGTGTCATCCTGGATAGTGAGGCTTGTCCTTCCATGAAGGTTCCTGCTCGTCCTTCCCTTGTTCCTCTGGTTTCTGCTGCCTGAGGTGTTCACTAAGCATGTCATCACTCAGGGCCATCTTCCTGATGTATTCATGGATCCTTGTTGTGTCATCCTGGATAGTGAGGCTTGTCCTTCCATGAAGGTTCCTGCTCGTCCTTCCCTTGTTCCTCTGGTTTCTGCTGCCTGAGGTGTTCACTAAGCATGTCATCACTCAGGGCCATCTTCCTGATGTATTCATGGATCCTTGTTGTGTCATCCTGGATAGTGAGGCTTGTCCTTCCATGAAGGTTCCTGCTCGTCCTTCCCTTGTTCCTCTGGTTTCTGCTGCCTTAGGTGTTCACTAAGCATGTCATCACTCGTGGCCATCTTCCTGATGTATTCATGGATCTTGTTTCATCCTGGATAGTGGCTCTGACGCTCACTAATCCTCGGCCTCCTTCCTTCCGCTTAGTGTACAGTCTCAGGATGC